AAATTAGGGCGCGATGCAAAGGTTCGTTGGGTTTGGTTTGCTTGTTTTAGTCTAAAGTTCTTCTGCATTTATTTCACGTGGGCGTAGAATAGTAAGTAACTCCATCGTTCTCTGGAAATCAAAGGCCTTGTTTCGCTGAGTGTCTGTTGATTATTTCAATTCTTTACTGTAACAGACCATTTGCAAATGAAAGGTCCAGATACAATACCTGCATAGCTTGATAACTTGAAAGAGAAAGCGTTTTCTTTCAGGGCTAATGTCTGCCTTTCCGGGATCATGTGTAAGCTGCCTCTGTCACCGCCTCAGGCCTGCCTTCTTTTCACCCAGACATCAGAGGAGGAGCCGGCGGAGGTGGCTATACTGTCAGCAGGCAGCATCGGCGCCAAGAGGCTGACTTCTGCAGAAGTAGTAGGTTTATTAACTAGTGCGGGTCCTTCCAGGACGTGAAGGCGAACTTGGCAAACATGTCATTCAAGGCCACACATGTGAGGACAGTTCACTTGCCCAGTTTCCAGCAGCCCCTGTCCCTCCCGCTTGGGACAGCCACCCATGAGCTTCTGAAGTAAGTAAGCACCCACGCTGGCATTGGAGGAGACGACTTTGCTCACGGCCACTCGCTTCTTAGAATTCAGCCAAGGGAAAAATTGATGAGCAGATATTCACAGTCTTCAGTGTTAGGGACACCACAGAATGTTGGCTTAAGAGCTGGTGCCTGGGCAGGCTGCTTGCAGCTGTTGCTGCTTCCGGCCAGCTGATGGCTCCTGAGTTCCCATCACACACTTCCGTCTGGGCTGCAGCTCCTGAGCTCTCCGCGCCCTCCTACGCAAGAACATTTGGCTGAATGAAGGTCCACACATCAGCCTCATTGCCTCTTTTCTGACTATTGAAGAGTGGGCTCTAAGTTGGTGATGTCTAACTATTCCACTGTGAGTGGCAGCTTTGAAACAGGCTCTTGGGTAAAGGGATCTGAGCCCTAGGGTGAAGCTGCCTGTTACCCAGCATGGCAGCTGTCAGGTGGTGGGGGGATGCGGGGCAACCTCTCAGTGGCCAGATCTGACGGTGTAAACTCCTATTCTTCTCAGCCCAGCCAGGAATTCCAAGCTGCAAATGTGCCCACCGCCGTTCCTCACCCGGCCCCTCCAAGTAACACGCTGGCCTGCCCGGGACCACCCCCAGAACCAGCAGCCAAACCCGACAGAGGGGACCCGACTTCTGACAGACTGCTCTGCGGCATTCGGTGCCACCTCCTGTCATCACGCACCTGCTCTGCCAGGGTAGGCCACGGAGCAGAAGCTGCTCCAAATTCATTTCTGCTTAACAAACAATTATTGAGCACCTGCTGTGTGCTCGTCCCAGGCTCTGGAGAGACAAAGGTGAGTGAATCTAAGTGGCCTGCCCTTGAGGGGTTCACCATCCAGGCCGAAAGCAGGTTTCACCCTGCAAACTGCACACTCAGTAAAACTCATGACTGCAGGAGAAAGTTACCAAGAAATAATGCCACAGACATTATTAATTCTCCGCTGGCTAAAGACTTTAATTAAACTGGTATGTGGAAAGAGCACAGTCTTTGATTCGTCATTAATTTTAGAATTTTGAATCGGGGGGCAAGTCTGGCACACAGCGGCCCCATGATCTGGCTTCAGTATCAGTTAACAGTGTCCCGAGGAAACAGCATTATGAAGACTACTTATGTTCCTACTGAGAGCTAAAATGTCCCAGATGGCGAGCTTGGAGAAAGTGCCACGTCGCTGGCCGCTCCGAAGCATCTGGGCCCCGGTGGCTGTCCTGACCCCCCCATGCCTGTCTCTGTGCAAAACAGATTCGCCCAGATCCAGTCACAGAAAAAAGCTAAGCCAACTTCAGAAAGGAGGTCTGCAGGAAAGGTCAATAATAGGATTCTAGTATATGAAGAGACCTTGACATCTCTTCCTTGGGGACAAAACGGAGGGATAGGGCTTTACATCTCAACAGGTCAGATTTTACATTTAAATACAAAGGAAACTTTCTAACCGGAAGATCTGAGAGGAGCTACCCGAAGAGGAAGCCAAGTTTCCACAGTGGAGCTGCATTTTCGCTTCGTCCCATCATTCCCTGAGTCCTAAGAGTTCTCATTCTTGGACAACTGACCAGTCTGAGAATCATTCGCGGCCTGCCCGCCTCCAGCATTCCGGCCACCATCGTCCTCCTCACATGGCTTCACCTCCGGGTCCCCGTAGGGTCTTAGCCTGATGCCACCATGTTCTCAGGCCTCCTAGGCTACCCCCCACCCCACCTGTTGTATATCACGGTGCTGTCTGTTTTTCAAAGAATTTATGATTATGTTATGAGCTGAATTTCACCACCACCCCCCCAAATTCATAATTTGAAGTCCTAACCCCCAGTTAGCTTAGGATGTGACTATATTTGGAGACTTTTAAGAGGTGATGAAGTTGAACGAGGCCATCTAGGTGGCCCTAATCCAATCTGACTGGTGTCCTTCAGGGAGGGGAAATTTGGACACACAGAGAGACGCCCAGGGACGCGTGCTCACAGCGGCAAGGCCATGTGAGGACACAGAAAGAAAATTCGCATCCGCAAGGCAAAGAGAGAGTCCCCAGGAGAAACCAAATGCGGTGACGCCTTGATCTTGGGCTTCCGGCCTCTAAAACTGTGAGAAAATCCATGTCGATTGTTTAAGTCACTCAGTCCATGGTATTTCGTCACGGCAGCCAAGCCAACAGATACAGATGGTACACATTCCTTTCTCTTTGCATGTGTATTGCCTCTCTTTCCCACTAGGATACAGCCTTCATTAAGGCAAGCCCTCGTGCATCTTATTTACCATTGTACCTTTAGCACCTAGACCTGGGTCTGTACAGATGAATTGAATGATTAGACTCCTATTAGACAATGAGGTCAAGACAGGTCTCAGCTAGCCCAAGGAGGCCTTCTGGAATTCGCGCTGAAATCACTGTTTCAGAATGGATCTTCCTCTGGTTTCACATGAAACGCTGGGAAGGCGTGAGGCGCTAAGTCTCAGCACGAAAGCAGACCCTTGGGGCCTTCACACCAGGTGCTGATGCAAGTGTCTGCGTTTTGAGGACAAATCCCTTCCTGTGAATAAAGGTATGTGGAGTTAAGAGTCTTTCTTTCGTTTGACAAGATCATCGTCTATGAACCATTCCTCAGAACAATAGCGAAGCATATTTCCAAGCCTCATGAAAGACATACAGATGCCTGTCGGTCACTAGCTGATAATTTCTCAAAAGTCGTTCTTCTTATTTTTACTAGCAATGAAACGTAATTGTTTCTGGAGCACTGTAACCAAGTCTATGCATTCTGGATGGTCTTTTTTTTTTTTTAAAGTTCTACTTTATATCACATGCCGCAAAAGGTTTCGGCTAGCATTTTCTTCCGGTGTCTTTTTTATCGTCACGTATGACAAATGTAGTACCATGTTCTATGGCAGAGTGCTCTCTAGAGGTAACCAGAGACTACGGAGGCTTCTGCAGAGAAAGGTCATTCACAGCACATAAAACTAGTCATGAACATGACTGTCTCTGATCCCCGATTCCCAGGATTTCTGTAACACACGCTTACGCAAAAAAATCACTCACACGCACATACAGACATATGCACACACACACTTTTCTATTAAAGCAGTCATAAGAAATTAATTACTTAAGAAAAAGCAAGAAAATTAGTTGTTCTAATACCATTGGCATTCAGAAAACTCTACCAGGAAGTTTATAAAAACGAAATGGTCAATAAAAATAAAAAAAGATAAGATTGAAATGCAAGGCACAGTGCATCTGTGAGTAAACAAAGGGTTTATGCACACTTGTGAATGTTGACGTGTGTGTCTTCAGGGGTAGACAGACCTCTGAGGTGACCATCCTGTCCTATTTTGCATGTTGCCCAGGCGTACTTCCTTCTCAACTATTTTCCTGTCAACGTCTCTCGAAGTTGGCTCCTGGCCTCTGTCATCTCTCCGACCTCACGCTCTCTCTGCTTCAGCTCTCACTCTACAGCAAGATGCCTCTGAATTCCTTCTTCTAACTTTCATTTCCTCGTCTCCAAGCACCTAGAGACATCTCCACGATAATGCCCCATGCTATCTCAGATCCAACACAGTAAGACAGAAATATACCATCTTTCCTCCAAAGCCAGTTTCCACTTCTGGCTGTTTTGTTCTTCCGTCCCTTTTCATATAAAAGGAACATTGAAAGCTGACTATACGCATCGAATCTGATCTGTGATGCAGATTAGAGTCATCGGTTTCAACATACTCACCTTCCTCTCAACAATAACACAAGATTGATGTGTTTAAAACATGGTTCATGAAAATAAAACACAGCTCCTCACCCTGTTGCCTTGGGTCAGTGCCCAACCACACTCTGAAGTAACTGCATGCATTTTGCAGTGTTTTTTTTTTCCCCCACCATTAGTTAAATATATTCAAGAAACGCACAAGAAATGTCAACACTTCTCTCAACAAGTAAAACAATATGATCAGACAACATCAACATCCAAATGATAAAACACACATATATACAAATATGGAGCAGAGATGGAAGGCAGGCCATTTAACATATCACCAAATATGCCATAGTTTTAAGAAAAGAAAGATTTGATGCCGCATATGAGCCAATAAAAGCCACCGTTTGGTGGGTCCCATTTGTTTTAAGCCATCTATGGGTAAAAGAGCTGTCAAGATCCTCACCATGCCAGGGCTGCCATCTCAACCACCATATTTGCCTGTTCACAGCACAACAGAACCCCGGCCGCAGACACAGACACTTCCCCACACCAGAACGTGAAAGAACAGTGAGAAATGAACCACGCCGGCTGCAGTCAGGCCCATCGGGTGCAGAGCAGAGGGACCAAAACCATGTGGCACGTGTGTTAGTTTAGCGATGGGAACTCAATGAAGGTTTGTGAGCACATGTGGGTGACGGAAGCGCAACCCTCTTGCGAGGCGGTGCTTCGGGGAAGACATGAGCTGAATGAGCAAATAGTACCTGTGACGGTTTCATTAAATGGTCCTGGACCCTTAATGGGAAAACCATCAATCTTGATCCATTCACCTCCTAAATTAGGAAAATGCAACCTGGTAGTTAGAAACGAGGACTGTAGGATTTTCCACATTTCAGTGCACCCCCAACGTATCTTTAAGTGGTCTGGTCAACAGGCTTCAAAGGGACCTGCTCGGGCCATCTCGTGACTCAGCCCCTTTTGCACGTGGCTTACTCTAGCGAGTACTCAAAAATGTAGGACAAAACACTAACAACCTACATTAAATTATTTTTAAAAAAGGAAGAATCTCCTAGTTTTCAAGCCTTTCAGCCAGTTATACAAGTCTAAAAAGTTTTCGTTCAGGAACTCTTTAATGATTCTAAACTGGCATTGACCGGAAGAAGCAAGGAGGGATGTTTCTCCCAGTCTAAAGAACAGAAATACAGCCTCCGATTCTAGATGAGACTTACCGGGCAGGCTTTCCGCTCTGTAAACAGGTCGGCTCACTCCACTGTGGTTTTCTGCAGTAACCAGCACAAAGTACACTACCCCCGGCTCTGAAACATATGGTTTACATCAAGCCACCGTTTCAAATCTCCAAGAATGACAGTTTGATTCACTAACTGTCCTCTTTGTACCAGATACAACCACATATAAAAAATCTGAATTAAGTAACAAGTCTAACTAGAGTCTCCTCTTTTTAAAAAAATCAAAATACTAACATTCCTTTCATGCAACTGACCAAAAAACACAACATTCATTTAGTATAAAATACATGGCACGTGAAATAAACTTGGATTCGTGACTATTCAACAGAAAAGCTTTTAAGCTTTTTAATGTGAAATCAACATAGCAAACAGGAACACGCTGTCCACTAAATACATGTTTTAAGCTACAGTGTCAGTAACGACAGATAATATTTCCCTGTGGAAGCTCCAAATGGAAATCTCTAAAAAAAAAAAAAATCATAAGAAAATGTAACTCATAAAATTTAGTACATGGGAAATCATCAATGCAATAAGTAAAGGTTCATGCAATTTTCTCCTTTTCACAATAAAATGTTCCCCTTACTATGTCTGCCTGTTGTCTTTGACCATTTCGACAAAAATCTAGAAAAGTATTTCCTGGAATCTTGAAGTGATTGGGCTTCCTTTTCTGACTTGCATCTTGGGGTCAAGATCAGATAAATAACAGTGGTCTCTTTGGCCAAGTTCCTAATGTCATTGGCATGTGAAGGAAAACAAGATGGCAGGTTACAACAGGAGTCCATCCTGAACCGGCCACCTCTGAAAGCAAAACTCCAAGGTGCTGGCTTTCCTCAAAATGAATTGTTATCTTGAGAAAGGTAAGTGAAGGTGCCAACTCCTTGAAGGGATGAAAGTTTGCAGGCATTTGAGGGGATGAAGGGTTAGAGAGGTTACAGTTAGTTCTGTCAAAAGCAATCATGGTAATTACACTCCTCAAAGTGAGGAGCATTCCCTCAATGAAGTTTAGTTCCCCAACTAGAGGCCCAGGAACATGGTGACAATGCCGACACCATCTGGGACACCTGCTGTGCTCAAGCCTGGTATGACTTCTGTGTGACTGTGGCAGGGCCTGGTGGCATTTAGGGTTTGGCATGACCGGCAGGACCAAATGGGAAACCCTCCAGGTGCAGACAGAACGTAAAACCGTGCTTTGCCAGCACTTTCTGTCTGAGCTTCTTTGTATTTCAAAGAAATTTAATCCGCATGCCCCTGATTCCCGTTCAGTTAACTCGTCAAAGTTGCTTGGGAGACACCGCTTTTCAGTGAGTTCTTAGTCTCTCTTTTGCATGTTTTTCTTCTCTGTGGAAGTCATCACCCAAGGTCTGAGCAAGCGAATATGACCCTGCCCATGACGTTAGTCTGGCAGAAACAGCCATTTAATCTCACGGTCGGGCTCTGTGGGGCTATAGGGATGAGGAAGAGATTCATACTTTCTTCTGACACCCAGAGACCCTAATGTTACAACTCAGGAGATGGAGAAAGAATAAGAATGGTAGACTCTGGCCAGGAACTGAGGAGCACGAGTTGATTTTGACCCACTAAAGGAAGGCAGCAAAGTGCTACCAGGGCATGGGGAGACCTGGTTGTCATGGACGCTAACTTCTGTTACTTCCTCATGAGCCGGCTTAAGGCTGGACCATGAGACGGCTGTAGAGTAAGCGGAGTTTCAGCCCAGTGGGATCAAAAGAGCAGGAGCTAGAAGAGCCATCGGAGGCTGGTCAAAGCTGAAGTTCAAAACCGCCTACACCTGTGCCTATAAAACCATATAGTTAGGCAACATTTTAAATCCTCCAAACTTCCAGAACCAAATTTCATGGAGAGAAATGTTACGTCTTTGAACCAGACGTGGCTAGGTATGACATATCACACACCCCTTTACAGGGACATGTTACTTGAGTAATCCCTAACGATAAAATAAGTTTATAAATAAAAAAATCTCAAGATTAGGCTACAAAGATGTCCAGTAGTCAAGTTCCAACAAAAAAGAATCAACATAGTTTCCCAAAGCAGATTCAGAAACTAAAAGTTGTTTCGAACATCAGTTTGGAGAGAGACCAGGAATGCTGGCGTTCAAACGCAGGTCCGGGAAGCAACAGGCTCACGACCTTGGCTTCCCGTTCCTAAGGAACCACATGAGCCTGGCCAACCTTTGTCTCACAAGTGGTCGTCCTAAGGATGGAATGAAGATGCAGGTGCAGTTAGTTCTGACTGGGAACAAGACTAGAGTGTCACTTACCCACATCCTCAATAAGGAAGGAGTGTGTCTCCGCATTCACCTTGATGTACTTAAGACTTTTCAGTGACTTCCCATAGGCAATGTTGTAATGCTCCACGGGTCTACTGGTAGCATCTTTGGGTGGGTCCCATGTGACTTTCAGGCCCATTTTAGTGGACAGCAGTTTCACGTGCCTTGGCTTCAGTGGGTGGTCAGCTATGCAAACAGCGCAACTATCAACTTGTGGGAATGGCAGATTGGGAAAACGAATTTTTTTTTCCAATGTTCTCTAATACCATTAGCAGAAGAGTAAATGACTTTTAATCTGTCTGATCCTACTGTAAGCACAGTCAAGTTTGGACATCGTTATGGTAGGACAGCAAAACAAACATACCGAACCCACACGCTTTTATGTATTTTGGATAACTGTGGGTGGTAAATTTAAGCCCAAAGTGAAACAAATCAAAATAAACTCTAGGCATCCTCTGGCTTGACTATGTTGCCTTGCCGGAGCAAGGAAAACAAATTAGTAATTTGACATACTCTCCAGAGGTGTTCATATATTAAACTAGGTCTCAGTATTTCACATGGTACAGTTGGACAATCTTTAAATCACCTCTGAGAAGAATAAGGTAAAACTCATAATCGGGAGTAACACCCATTGTATCCAAAACGAGAGGACAGAAGCATTCGTTCCCACAAGAACAACAAAACAGGATCATCAACACCTTAAAAGGTTTTTAAACCTCTGCTTTTATCTGTATTTTACTAATTTAAGCGTTTCTCTGTTTTGTCATAAAGAAAAACAAGTTATTAAGAAGCACAATTACATTTCTATCTTCAGTTACGAGGTTCCAAAACAGTATTCTTGATTTTCAAATATAACCAAAACGAAACACAATATTTTGTCAAGCAAAATCTCTCAGCTCATTATGTAACTGATATCGTAATGTAACATCATATAAACATATGCTCAATACTCATGCAACAGTCAAATTTTGGGCAAACTTGGATCTGAAACTGATTATTCAATGACGCAAGGCATTCTCAAGGGGTAAAAAAAGTAACCTTAAAACAAAAAAAACCACCCAGAAAACTTTAAACTTAGTCACAGTAAGAAAAATGAATTCAGACTCTGACGGAAGAAGGAGGGAAAGGGAGAGGGTTTCGTGACCACACATAGATTGGTTAGTATGTGATCTTAATACTCGATGATGATTCTGAACAGGCTGAGTAGGGCTGATTAGCACACACAGCCGGGAGGTGCTGTCGCCCCCCTCCGCATTCCAGATGAGGAAAGTAGGGTCTGGAACAGAGAAGTCAGGGGAACTGCCCAGAGCAACGCGGCTGCAGCCGGCTGCAGCCGAGGGCCAGCGCGGCTTCGTCCAATCCTGACGCCCAGCCTCCCCACGGCTCACAGACCTCCAGACTCTGGCCCTGGTCGTAAAGGGCTAATGACCGCACCCACTGAGAGCGAATTCATCGAGGAAGCCACCACTAACACCAACGGTGAAACCACCCCAGTTGTGCTGGCCATTTCCTCTGCCATCCATCTACCTCGCCACCTTCCTCTCTGGCGGGCCCTCCCGCCCCCACCCGCGGCCGCAGTCCCTGTGCGGGGTGCCATCCCCCACTCTGTAGAAGGGATGGAATAAGTGAACGATGCATTCTCAGGGACTTCTGCATTCTCACGACAAAACCTCGGACCAGATGAACGACGTCCTTATGGTGACATTTTATGCCTTACAGTTACCCATGAAGGTCGTTTTTAGACACAAAGCCATTTGGGGGACCCCCAAGTCATACCTTCGAGGCATCCTTAGTTTAAGGCCAACCTCCTTCTAAGATCATCTCTGAATTTAAGATTCTCCTATCTACCCCCAGATACCCCGCAATGCACGCAAGGTGGGCCAGTTAAACAAAACACTACGGGACTCGAGCAGAAGATACTTTCATTCCCTGGACTCACGTCAGCTTTGATATTTAAAATTAATGTTGTGTTCAATGCTTCCCAGTGAATGTCACCTGAGCCTTGCTCAGAAAGAATTAGATGAAGAGAGGAAGGCTGGATAGGATAAAAGACACCTTGTCCATTGTTCCAGCCCCACCTGGACGCCCTAATGCCTGAGCTCTGAGTGAACTCGTCAAACCACCATCCACCTCAGGAACCACCGTGCTGAGCAGGCACAGATCAGTGTGCGTGAACTTGGATGACGAAAGCTTATTCTGAGGGCTAGAAACATGGCGATACGCTCTACTCCCGAACGTCGTTGCGTAGGTCCCATGACTTCATTCCTTAAATGCGAAGTAAAGCTATATGAAGAGTAGGAAATTGGTTTCGGGGTCTCCGGCTGCTTTCTGGGTTCTGTGCTCAGGATCTGCATTGTGGGAGCATGACGATGAAATATGACAAAGCGGTTCCTTGTTTACTTAAGAGTATCCTTAGACACTTAGGTCAGACCGTCCTCTCTGCCAGGTAAATGAGGCCTTTTGTAATCACGTTCAGCATTCGCTTCCATGAAGATGACACGAGGCACATCCTGTACAGCTCTATCGCCCATGAACCGCCTCTCTAAAGAGAAAAAGGACAAACCCGAAGTCGATACCACAGGAATTATATGGCCTCGTAGAGTTTGCATGACAGGTTATGGCTGTGACGAGATTTTTTTTTTTTTTTTTTGTCTCCGCAGGAATCAAAATGAGGAAATGGACTTAAGCTGCAGCCTAAGGGATTTTAGGTGAAGTAACAGGAACTTCCTGCCTGTGTCCTCCCCCCTCCCCCACGCAAGGCTGCCTTTGAATGGACATGGATGCCAAGGTGCTCCAGACAGGAGGAAGCCAGTGACTTGAGCCACTGCGTACCACAAGTCATTTACATCCTTCACACCGGTGAACGTTATCCAGATTCAAGAATATTCTGCCAGGTACCGAGAGGCAAGATGATATTTTGGTGTTCCTTTAGATGCCCGGTGACTACTGGGTGAGACGGCTCGGTGCCATGGCTTCCACGAGACCTCTGCTGGTCTACTGAGGACTGGGAGGTGAGAGCACAGTCAGCTCTCACTGGGTTCTTAGCTGGCCCCAGCTCCAAACCCCAGGTCTTATCCAAGCAGGTCAGTTTGGTTCCAAGGTCAAGGTACAGGTCTGTGTCTACTCAAGGATGGAAACAAGATTCTAGTGACTCTGCAATGTCTGTCTTCGGAGGGTCTTTGGCTTCTGCAGAGCGGCCTCAAGGAGTTCTCCAGGGCTGGCAACCGCCCTCAGAAGCCAGAGTCCAGTGCTAAGTCCCCAAGGCCGGCCTGGCCTGACCAACATCTTCACGACAAGGTCACAATACCTCACCTGCCCCTTCTTCTTCCTGCCTCAGCATTTCTCTTGGCACCAGGTACGACTACTCACCAGGGCTCACTTAAAACACTGAGGGGTTCAAGGAAAAAGTGTTTAGAGGGTTTGGATTAATGAGGTCAACCAAGGGCATCCAACCCAAACACCCTCGAGGCCCAGGAAGATCAAGCAGATAAGCGAAGACGCATCAAGGACCGTGCACTCCATCTGGAGGCATGACTTAGTTTTTAGGCATCTGTTGTTCGATATTTGGGGAGGGGGGCAGTTCTAAGAAGATAGAAATCCTGATTTTTTCCTATGAAATCTCCCAATTTTATACTAGTTGGTGATTAATTCAACTTTTTAAAAACACTATGTGAGAAAACCACACACACACGCACACGCACACACGCACGCACACGCACACACGCACGCGCACACACGCACACGCACACACATGCACACACGCACACGCACGCGCACACACGCACCCGCACCCACACGCACACACGCACGCGCACACCCGCACCCGCACAAACATC